GGGGGGGGGGGGGGGGGGGGGGGCCCCCCCCGCGCCTCCCGGCCTGACCCCGGCCCCCCGCTGCCCCAGTGCAGTTCGGCGACTGCCTGTACATCGCGGTGAACGGGGACGGCGCGGAGGGCGAGGACGACCTGCGCAGGACGCTGTACGTGCTGCGGCGCCTGGTCGAGGCGCACTTCGGGCTGGTCACCCTCGACTCCCGCCTGCTGCGCAAGGAGTGAGTGCGCGCCGGCGCAGGGCTCGGGGCCGACTCCTGGGCCGGGCGCTGTCGTAGCGCTATACGCCCGCGGGGTCGCACCCGGCCCGAGGGAGGATCGGCCCCGTCCAAACCAGCCCAGACGAGCCCCGTGTCCAACACACGCACGTCGCCCCCGGCATACAGGGGGCCTGTGGCTGCCATCGTCCTGGGGGGTCACGGGCGCTGCAGAGATCCCAGGCCCAGGCCATTCATCCGCTGCAGGGGAAGGGGAAACCTCCCAGTGCAAACCAGTCTGAGCAGGGGGGAAATCCCTTCCTGCCCCAGTGCCTGAGCGCAGGGGCAAGACCCTCCCGCCAGGGTCGGTGCCAGCAGGAGCATTGGCACAGCCCAGCCCAGCCCCATCCCCAGCACCTCTAGGAGAAGGTTAAACCCCCCTGAGACATGGAGCAGCAAGTAGGGGAACGGGGCAAGCAGCCAAGGTCGTGAGGCCCCGTCCTGCAGCTGCTTCAGGGCCCGGGTCTCGCCTGCCCATCAACCCCACTGTGGTGGGGGGGTCTGTCCCCAAGGGTCCAGGGCAGCCACGTGTGCGGGTCTGCCATCCCTTTGGCTACAGAAACGGTTGTGCCAGCTCAGCAGGCCAGAGGCTGGGGGTAGATCACCGACTCGAGCTGCGGCTGGCCCCAGAGCGGGTGGGATCAGCCCTTCTCGCCCCAGTCCTGTAACCCGTCCAGCCCAGAAGGCCCCAGGCCTATTCCTCCTCTCCCAGCGGGCAGCGGGGTGCTCCCAGGGCCACGGGGGGGTGGGAGCGCCAGCCCACGGCTCCGGCTCACTGCTGCTGCGCTCGCAGGCTGCGGCCGGCGGACTCGGAGCAGCGCAGCCGCGTGTGGGCCCTGCTGCGGAGCCTGCTCCAGACCTACATCCGCCTGCGGGACGAGGACCAGAGCTTCGCCGTGGAGGTGCGTGCTGGGGCACAGGGCTGGGCATGGCACAGGGCAGCCTGCAGAGCTCGGTGCGCCCCATGGCCACTCCAGAGCAGGGGTCTGGCACGGGGCACTTGGTGACAGCACAGGCAGGGGTGGTATGACCCCACAGCTTGGCGGGGTGCCGTGGGTAGGGGGCTCACGTGCAAGGGGTGTGACGTAGTGTCCGTGCCACTCACAGCTGGGGATGAGGTCCCCAAGGCTGGAGCCCATCTGTTGCAGCCCCGGCACGTGGGGACTGGGGTCTCCAGGGTCTGACGCCGTCTCCCGCAGGCGGTGGAGCGGCTGATCCACCCGCAGCTGTGCGAGCAGTGCATCGAGGTCCTGGAGCGCCAGGTGGTGCAGCACATCAACAGCTGCGCGGAGCGCGGCAGCACCGAGGTGGCCCACGCCTTTCTGCTGGTGCACACCAAGCTGCTGGCCTTCTACTCCAGGTGAGCCTGGCCCGGCAGAGCCCGGCTCGCTCCGTGTCCCCGCACACGGCTCTGACACGCGTGGTCTCCCCGCAGCCGCAACGCCAGCTCCGTCCGCCCGGCTGACCTGCTGGCCCTCATCCTCATCGTGCAGGACCTGTTCCCCAGCTGCAGCGGGGAGGAGGAGCCCGCCTCCCAGGTAGCACCCCTGGGCCCAGCCGGGGGGGGCAAATGTCTGGCCTTGGCTCCCTGTGAGCTGCTCTCGTGCTCTTTTTGCAGCCTGCAACAGCGGGCCTGACTCCCCCGAGGCCGAAGAGCAGCGAGAGCATCCCTGTGCAGAGCCTTGGAGCCGCCGAGACAAAGGCAGGGGAGCAGGTGCGTGCAGCCACCTGGCTCCAGAGCCCAGGATGTGGGGGGGGTCCTGCCATAGCTCCTGCAACCCCAGGGGTGCCTGGATGGTGCCCCTGCGGCACCGGGTCCCCCACAGGCAGCCTCCCCTTTGCAGGAGGGCAACGAGCAGCGAGAGCATCCCTGTGCAGAGCCTTGGAGCCGCCGAGACAAAGGCAGGGGAGCAGGTGCGTGCAGCCACCTGGCTCCAGAGCCCAGGATGTGGGGGGGGTCCTGCCATAGCTCCTGCAACCCCAGGGGTGCCTGGATGGTGCCCCTGCGGCACCGGGTCCCCCACAGGCAGCCTCCCCTTTGCAGGAGGGCAACGGCGATGACCGGGGCACCGGGTCCCACTCAGGCAGCCTCCCCTTTGCAGGAGGGCAACGGCGATGACCTCTCCACAGCCGAGGAGTTCTACACGCCCCAGCCCTCGCCTGGCGGCCGCAGCTCAGGTAAGGCCTGAGCAGCAGCACGGGCTGGGGGAGCCCTGGGTTTGGGGCTCGGAGCCAAGTCTCCGCATGTAGCGCAGCCCACCCTATGTTGCCCCTTCCCCCAGAGCCTGGCGGAGCTGTCCTGGCTGCAGCTGCCGCCCCTTTGCTCTGTCACCTGCAGGAAGCGAGAGCTGGTCAGAGAGCATCGAGCTGCCGAGCTCTGCAGAAGCAGATGCTGCAGACGTCCAGGTGAGTTTGGCTCCTGCTACGTTGAGCCCCCGCACGCTGCCTTGGGACGTGTCGGGGGCCTGCACCCACCCCACCCTCAGCCCCCCAGCAGCTCTCCAGGTCTCCAGGTTCCCCTTTCTGACCTCCCCTTCCCCAGATCTCCTTCCACCCCTTCAGGATGTTCCTTGGACCCCCACCACTCCCTCCTAATCTTCAGCCACCTTCCACCCCATGGGCACTGCCTGCTCCTGCAAATATCCCTGCAGCTGCAGAGCCCCGCCCCAGCAAGAGCCCTGGAGAGCCGTGGGCACAGACTCCCAGAGCCACGGGGCTGGTGGGGAGCTGTGGGGTCACAGCTAGTCCAGCCCCGGCCTGAGGCAGGATCAGCCCCGTCCATACCAGCCCAGACGAACTCCATGTGTGACCTCAGAGCCACACGACAGTCGCCCCTGCCCCCGTGGAAGCAGGGGGGCCGCAGCTGCCAATGTCCTGCTGCTGCCAAGGGGGTCACGGGCACTGCAGAGAGCCCAGGCCATACCCCTGCTGCAGAGGAAGGCAAAACCTCCCAGTGTGACCAGTCTGAGCAGGGAGGAAATCCTTTCCTGCACCAGTGCAGCATCAGGCTGAGCCTGAGCGCGGGGCCAGGACCCTGTGGGGTGGGTGCCAGCAGGAGCATTGGCCCAGCCCCAGCCCCAGCCTGCGCTGCAGCGGCACCAGTGCCTCTGGGGGAGGATTAAACCCCCTGACACGTGGAGCCCCGAGCAGGGGAAGGGGCAGCCGACAGGTTGTGAGGCCCTGTGCTGTGGCTGCTTCAGGGCCCAGGTTCCAGCTGCCCATCAAACCAGCTGTGTGCGGGTCTGTCCCCAAGGGTCAAGGGCAGCCGAATGTGACATGGGCTGGGGGGTCTCTTGTATATGCAGCTCTCACCCAGGCCCTTCTCTCCCCCTGCAGATGGCAGAGGACTCACTCCAGGCCCTGGCACCCCCCATGCCCGACGCCACCAACCCTCGGAGGATCTTCCTGGACACCAACCTGCGGGAGGGCTACTGCCCCATGCTGCCCCACACCATACACTGCCTACTGCTCTGGCCTGGCATCTGCCTCGTGCTGCTGGCCAAGGTGAGTCATCGCCAGGGCCGGGTCTCCGTACTTGCTGGCACACACTGAGTCCCCCGCTGTCCCCCGCAGGGCCCCAGCACGCCCGTCGCCCTGACCCTGTCCCAGCTGCTGGATGGGCTCCTGGTGCTGGAAAAGAAGCTGCGGGAAGGGCCAGACATGGTGCCCAGCCCGCGGTCCCACCCGTTCCTGGGTGACCTGCGGCATCGCATGGACAAGTTCGTGAAGAAGCTGGGTGGGCCGGGCACCCAGGTGAGGGGCCACGGCAGGGATGGGCAGTGCCTCGGGTCGGGGCAGGAGGGGACATCAGAGCTGCCCTGTGCTGGGTCAGACCCAGGTCCATCTCGCCCAGTCCCTGGTGTCACGGGGGCAGAGAGCAGCGGCTGGAAGGGAGAGCGACTGGGGCCAAGCAGGGTTTTCCCTGCTCCTCTCTCCCCTGCAGCCTCCAGCATTTCAGGTCTGGGACCTTCTGATTCATTCCCACACCCAATAGTGACTGCTGCCCCTTTCTTCCCAGCACGTGTCCACTCCCTTGTGAATCTGGCTGAGCTCTCAGCTCCCCCCCCACCTCTGGGGGCCGTTTTAATGCCACGCTAGGGGAAAAAGAATTGCCTGGTGTGCGTTGTGAACTGCCAGCCTGCTCGTTCCATTTAGTGCCTGGGTGGTGGGCACGAGGGGCGAGGACTGCCTGGGGTGGGAGGCTGGGGGCAGGGGCCTGGCACCGCAGAGCAGAGGACGTGAACCAATGGCTTGAAGTGGCAGCAAAAGTGAGTTTAGTTTGGAAATCCAGACAAACTTCTTTGCCGTCGGAGCGGGGAAGCCGCGGGAGAGACACCAGGGAAGGGGGCACTTTCATCATGGAGGTGTCAGGAGAGGCTGGACAAGTGCTGGGTGGGGTGATCCAGGTGCAGCAATGCCTGTGGCCTGCTGTGGGGTGTCCCAGGCCCCTGGGCTGTGCTGTTTGCCCCCCTCTCTTTCTGCTCCAGGTGGGGGGCGGTGTTAAGCCTCCCCCGAGGCGCTGGTGCTGCTGCAGCCCAGGCTGGGGATGGGGCTGGGCTGTGCCAGTGCTCCTGCTGGCACCAACCCCGCAGGGTCCTGGCTGGAGGGTCTTGCCCCTGTGCTGACCAACACTATATTTGGGGTCAGGAAGGAATTTTACCCCCTGGTCAGATGGGTGTGGGCTGGCAGGGTTTGCCTTCCTCTGTAGCAGGGGGCATGGCCCTCTACCGGGATGGACCTGAGTGTATGTTGGGATTTCATAGAAGCAGGACGTTGGTGGCCACGGTCCCCTGCTCTCCCCGTGGCAGGTTCAGGTGTGATGCCTGTTGTCAGGGCTGATGGTAGTTTTATAAGAGTTTAGATGCTGGGTTGGTCTGGGCGGGTTTGGACGGGGGCTGATCCTGCCTCAGGCAGGGCTTGGCCTGGACATGACCCCGCAGCTCCCTGCCCGCCCCGCGGCTCTGGGACTCTGCAATACTGGACTCTGATCTGCTTGTCTGCCCATCTGTCCCCTCTAGCTGCAGAACGCCTGGCTGGAGTTCAAGAGCAAAGCCTTCTCTCGCCACGAGCCCGCCAGCTCCCAGGAGTGAGTATGGGGAGGAGAGCAGCGAGCCCTGCAGGCTCAGAGACCCGTGATGGTCACAAGCCTGCGTGTGACCATCACGCAGAGCTCTGCTGGTCTCTGATCCGTCCCTCTCTCCTTCCCAGGCTTCTGCAGGTGCTGGGGGGCGTGCGGCACCAGCTCTGCTCCCTCTACCGCCAGTTCTTCCTGAACCCCCTGGCCGCCCCAGGCCTGCCGCAGGGCCTGCTGGACCGGGCGCAGCGCCTGCTGCAGTGAGTGAATGGGGCAGGGGCAGGGGGTCGGTGCTGGGGCTGGAGGTGGCGGCTGCTGCTTCCCTGCGCAGGGCTGCGGTGGCATGAGCTACCAGGGTCTGCGTCGTGGGGCTGGAGCTGGGTTGGCCCCATCCCCTTCAGGCAGCTGGGAGTAGCACTGCCTGGCCTTCATGCAGGGGCATCCATTGGCCCCACTGGCATCCTGGCAGAGCAGGGCGGGCACATCCCTGTCCCCCTTACGGCCTGTTCCCCGGCAGGGAGAAGTTGCTGGACTGGAAGGACTTCTTGCTGGTAAAGAGCCGGCGCAACATCACCATGGTCTCATATCCAAGCCGGGATGGCGGGTGTGGAGGGGCAGGGAGCTCCCCCAGGACACAGTGGGTTTGGGAGAAACCAGGCGCATGGGCCTGGAGCTGGCTGCTCTGTGGGGCCTGCCCAGCTCGGGCGCCCAGAGCCTGCTCGCTGGGCTGTGCCAGGGCCGTGCAGCAGCCCCCGGGCTCTGAGCCTGGCCTGGGGCTGGCAGCGAGCAGCAGAGGCCTGCGGGCAGCGGGCTCGGGGGTTCCCACTGGTGGGTGCTGAGCTTCAAGGTAAGGCAAGCCGCTGGTGTTTGACCCCACATGGGCCCGGCCTGGTGACCCCAATGGCCTGTGGGCTGTCCCCAAGGGGCTCTGGGGCTCTCAGTGCCAGGAGCGTCTGAGGGGTGCAGGGAGCTCGCGCCTGCCTTGGGCCTATTGCCTTTGAGCATCCTTGACCCGCCCCACATACCTGGAGGACTTCCCCGGGCTGGTGCACTTCATCTACGTGGACCGCGCGGCTGGGCAGATGGTGGCCCCCTCGCTTGGCGTGGCCGAGAAAGCTGCCTCGGAGCTGGGCCGGGGCGAGCTGCCCGCCTTCATCAAGAGCA